GTGTGTGTGTGTGTGTGTGTGTGTGTGTGTGTGTGTGTGTGTGTGTTCTGATAGTGACACTGGTGTGTTTCAGGTGAACCAGTTTTGCTGCCCGGAGCCTCCGGTTGATGAAGATGAAGAGTGGAATCTGACGGTCTCGTAGAACCAGGTCGTGGTGTTGGGTCGGRTTCTGGTGTCGGATCAAAGAACTGATCTGTGAGCAGCTCAAACTGAGGCAGCTCTCTGATTGGCTGAGAACAGATTCAGTCTGTAGGTAAAGTTTGGGTCAGAAGTTCTGGAACACATCTCCACAGATGGACTGAAGGAAAAAAACTGTTTTATTTAAATTAATTATTTTTGTATTTTATCTGAGAAATAAATATTTTATTAATGTTCTGTTGCCTCAGCCAACATATTTCTGAACTCCGTTTCTACCTGCAGTTTATCACCACCTGGACAACTCCTGGTGTGTCCCACAGGAGCAGGGTGACCCTGAATGCATCACAGTACATGGCTACATTATAAAAATAATACTTTAATATCAGCAGACAGGAAACAGTTTATCACAAACCACATAAAAACTGCAATAAAGACTCGACACAGACTGATGCTGCGTTCAAGTGCTGTCAGTTTATCACAACTTTACACACACAGCTACAGWAACACTGGCTCTGACAACACCTGAATGCAACACAAAGTTTTAATGAAGGCAGCACAACCGACAAACACCTKCCTGCTGCCGTGTTTGGTCCTAAAAGGAGCATCCTGCTCTTTTGTGTTGTAGCCTTTCAAATTAAAACACTTCCTGTTTCTCAGTTTGAGATCACTAACCGATCAGTCCGCTGGAATGTACTGAAAACACTCGACYGCTAACCTGGGAGCGAACAGGTGAGAGGGTTTTGGTCCGGTCCGGTTTGAGTTTCCACAGATACAGAAAGTCTCTCAGTGAGTCTCGGTCCAAACGGTGACCCAGTGTTTTCGGGACAAAGACKCCTGGTCCTGGATGAGAAAGCCGTTGTCGTCCACGTGCCGCCGCCGCTCGTTTTTACCCAGAATCCTCCCCTCGTGGAGCACTGCCGTCTGCCACGCCCCCTGATGCACGAAGAAGCGACACTGCAGAGAAAACAAGAGTCAGAAAGACCTGATTTCTGCACGACGAGGGGCAGAGGACAGGAAGGAAGGAGTTCACCACAATAAAAGCCTCCACCTGCAGAGAAACCATCAACAGACAGGAAGTCAGGAAGCAGTCAGTAAACCAGTGGTTCCCAACTGTTTTAGACTTGTCCCTGAGCCATTTGTCATACCACAAACACCCGCTCTGTTATGATTCTCCAAAACTACAGTGTTGAATAAAGTACCTCAAAGTGATACTTGAGTAAAAGTACAAGTATCATAAAAATACTTTGGTAAAAGTTAAAGTCTTATCTAAAAAATATTACTTGAGTAAAAGTCTTAAAGTATCTGATATTTCTAAGTATCAAAAGCAAATTTCTGACACAAAATCTACTTAAGTATTAAAAGTAAAAGTACTGAGTAAAAGTGAGCAGTTAGATTTTCCAAAATGACATTTATTGGGAGGTGACTTCTCCAAAAACTATATTTTCTAACAGCGTGCAGCTGTGATGGGTTGTGTACAAGGTTACACGATTTCTACTTCTCATTCAACCACAATTTAATGCACTCTATCCAGGAGACACAATTTATTAGGAT